CAGCAACGCCAACACCATCACCTGTCGTCTTGGCGATGCGCGCACCATCTGGGCGATGGCGCGGTGCTTGGAGAGGGTCATCGTGGGGTGGAAAGGGGGTGGTCGTCGCCGGGTGTTGGCTGCGCACCTTTCGAGCTCCACTTCGCCCTCCAGTCCGCCGCGCGCCAGCCCGCCGCCCTCCTGACAATATATATTGTAGCAGTGTGGGGTGGTTTACAATGTAAACCCCCTCCGTACAGTGTTATTACATTGTAGGGAGGGGGAGGGGTACAGTAGTCCCATTTGCATTGCATTTTCTGAAGGCCAAAGGGCGTGTGCGAGGGCCGAGTCGTGTTGAGGACAACATAATGGAACTGCTTGTCAACTCACTAGTTGTCGCGGTGTGCGATGAGCAATGAGGCCCAACTAGCTGCACCTTCCCCTGTCGCGGTGTGCGATGAGCAATGAGGCCCAATTAGCTGTGCACCTTCTCCATAGAGCAAGGGCCATTCTACCTGGCACTTATCCAGTCTTGTACTGTACAGTCTCCTCTTGTACAGTCTCCTCTAGTACATTTGTATAATATACTGTAGGATTTTGGCATGTCGGTCAGCAGTGATTGGCTTCTTTATTTATACAGAAACACTACAGGGTTGGGTCGCGATATAGTGCTACCCTGTGTCTGTTTGCCGAAAACGGTACTATATCGAACCAGGCACTATAATATAATGAGATTTACGGCTTTTTTTTGCAGCCACTTTCTTGCATCGCTGCTCAGGAAGAGACGGCTCACAGGACGCCATCACTCATGCTTTGCATCTTCACTACAGACTCAAGTCTAATCAAGTATTTCTGATATAAAAAACTTTAGTAGCTGCCGAGCCGTCGCATTCACTTCCTCCTTCTTCGCAGCCATAAATGCCAGCCTACCCTTCGAAGGGTACACTTTTGCATTTTTGCATTTTTGCATTTTTCCGCTAGTCTCTATTCGAGTTTTATCAACTGCATGATATCTTTCCGCGGCGGCAGCAGCTCTCGGGTAGTAGTACACCCTTCAAGGGTACGTCCATCCAACTGCCTCTCTGGAGACCCTTCGTTTTCGGCTCCAAATTCGTGGCACCCGCAGAAGGGTAGTACTATATCAGAGCTAGCACTAACAAAGATGGCACTATATTGTGACCCCCCCCAGAATATAGTTTTGTATCTGTATATTTTTACACAGATATAAAGCTATGCAGATATACGTACAGGGGGTAAAATCAGTGTCGAAGCAGTTTGCTGGCCTGCCGGCAACGCGACGCCTCAGCCTATTTCATACCATTATACAGTATGATACCATTATATATGATACCTTTATATGACACCTTGCCTCCTCAGTCAGCGGCTGCGGCACCAATTCCGGCGGCTTCTTGCCAGTCAATAGCTACACTTTACGTGGCGTGAGCCTTCGACCTCACAGAGACCGCAAACACGCGTCAAGTTCTAAGCCATCCCGTCACGGCAACATCCATTCCGCCGGGCGGTCGAGGATGTGAATCTACGTGACAATGCGCGGCATGGTCGCTGCCGCCCCCCATTCGCCC